CAGTTGGTCTGGATGAAACAAATTTTATATGAGTATGGTATGAATGTTCATTCGGCTCAAATTTTTTGTGACAACACTAGTAACCCACGACCACCAGCTTAATTCACCCCTCGGGACCGACCCTATAACCTGAAAAGGATAATATAGTGGGGGCATGAGCACTAAAAGCCACTGTGCTCCGCAGAAACTCATACTAAAGTAAACAGCAATAATAATTGCAATATCATGATCAAAAGCATATATATAATATGTGGTTGATCAACAATATGTAAACTGCTACTGGAACAGATACTGAATCTGTCGGCTATGTCCGAACCCATGTGCACACCTTAGTGGGCAGATTAGGCTACTAGAACTCAGAATGGAATTACGCACCTGAACTGGCCACCATTCTAAGCGGAACTGGATATACATACCTTGAACATGATAGCTATAATTATACTCAATGTAGTACTCAGTATGAGTCCCCACCTGAACTGTTGGTGTGAAAATGTAAGTGCTGCTGCAGATCAAACTGTAAAAATATATAAATAAACAAACACTAAGTACTATGCGCAGACTGACTGAAAATAACTGCTAAGGTGCTCGACTCGAACTTAATTATTTAACTGGATTTACTGAAATAAACTCAGGTTCTAACATGACTGATAAATCTGAACTAAACTGGAAATACTGAATTGAACTGACTGGACTGAAAATACAGAATTAAACTGGTACTGCTATACTGGACTTACTGGACTGAAAACTTAACTGAAATACTGAACTGAACTCGGACCGGGTCAGTGAGTCCTGAACTGCTCAATTAACCAGTCTGAACCGGCTGGTTCACTCGCTTGCCGGACCGCCGGCTCGCTGTGGCCGGGTGGTCGACCGCTGACTGAGCCACCGGCACGGTCGCACGCACGCACTAGGCATGGCCTGGGCACTGCCAGGCGCTGCTGGCGTCGGCCCGTGCGTGACTAGCTGGTCCGTGCACTGGCGGGTGCAACTGGCACCGCGCGTGCGCGTAAGACGGCTAATGAAGATCGTGTGTTCCGATTGCCGATAAGCCGCTAACCCACACCTTGAATCACCGATAGGTGTTCTTCGAGCCACAACAGCGTCTCTTGGAATGAATG